CTCCCTCTTTGCACACCCTCTCCGGGGTTTTTTTTGGTTTTGGCAATTTAAGTGTAGTTTTTTTTTTTTTTTCTTTTTTTTTTTTTTTTTTTCTTCTTTTTGTGTGTGTGTTTGTGGCCACTGAATAGTGGCTGAGGCTGGATCCAGGCTCTTGGGCTGCTTTCACGTAGATTCTGACCCGACTGCAGGTTTACAAATAACAAAGTATGTGATACCAGAGCAGGTGCTTATTAGCTGCACAGCTGCGTTGGAGATGACATATCCCCATGGTGGGGAGTAAAGCTGGTTGTTTTGTTGAACAGCATCCGCCTGGCTGCACAGGGACTCCACAGTAAGAGCAACACACACAGGACGACCGCCTGAAATCGGGGTTGCTCCTTGCCTCCCTTTGCCCTCACCTCGGACGTGGAGGAACAGCCACACGCACCAGCTTCATTCCAGTCTTATATTTTATTCTTCAGCTGGCATACTAAATACAGATCAGAGAGACTGTCAGGGAAACTTCGGTTTCCTTAAGCAGTGGAAGGATTTCTTAATTGTCAAATGATTTTATTTATTTATTTATTTTTAAGATACAGTCACTGTGAAAAAGGAGAGTCCTGTGAAAGACCACACCAGTTCTGTGTAGGTAGTGTCCGGGTGAATGGTTGGGGACTGATGGTAGAGGACAATAAGTTCTTTTGCTACCTGGTCATCTTTTCCTTTTGAAACACCCTCGTAGCTCTTTTACAGCACAGATTTAGATCTCTTGCACGTGATACTATTTTCTTAGCTTCCTAAAGTGAAAAGTGTGTGGGGAATGACCGAAGGAAGATGCACATAACTACAAAGAAAGGGCAGGAGCAAATGAATTCCAACTATATTAAAAAGGCGTGTAGGTTTGCAAAAAAAACCCCCAAAACCCAGAACAAACCACAACCAAATCCCAACACAAACAAAAGAATAATCTAGATGTGCATGGTTGGTTTTTTAAGTGCTCACACTTCAGTGTTGTATTTCTGACTAGCCCGAATGAGACAAGGCGATTCTGTGAAGAGTGCTCTGTAAGTGAAGCCTGAGGAAAAAATGCTAGCATAAAAATAAGAAAATATCTTAGCAGTCTTGTGTGCGGAATCAGGGGAAGTGAAACCAAACCCCCGCATCTGAGTGCAGCCTCCAAAAATGTTGAGGAATATTTAGTTTGGGTTTAGGCCTTACTTCAGATTGGATGAAGCTCCAGGTCGTCTCCCAAAGTTTTCCATTATTCATGTTAATTAAAAGGTAGATGTCAGGGCTTGTTGTCTGCATTCAGCAATAAAAGATGAAGTGAAGGAAACTCTTCTCGATGCTCTCCTTAAATAATGTGATCTGATGTCAACACACTCAAGCAAATGTTGCGTTTAGAAATTAGGGCAGGGATATTGCTGGGCACCAGGTTGTGGCAATTAGGCTGGATAAGAGGCAGTTTCCAGTGGAGGTGGCCAGATGTTTGGGCTGCTGAGTGATGAGGTGTGGGCTGCAGATGGATGTGGGAAGAGGGAAGACAAACAAAAGGTGTTAATTCTTGGCACAGATACTGACTGGGCATGGCACTGCTGTTGGACAATTTGTTCATGGAGTCATGAACCATTTTGGGAGAAAAGAAATCCGGTAAAAAAAATCCATCCCCACGTTTCTGAGCCTCTAAATAGGTTTGGGGTTTTGGGGAATGTTGATGTGACTTGGCAGTACAACAGTTCTCACTTTTTGAACATCAAAACATGAGACTGTGTCACATTCTGCTAATATGGTCTAAGTTAAGTAACATTTAGTAATAACTAACCTTTACAAATAAATAAGTTTGCTAATATCTGTATGAATGGCAGCTTCCCCCACTGACCAGATCTGTAGGCAGAGGGAGGGAAGCATGTGAGAGACTGTTGGGATGGGATTCGGTTAATGTATATGGGTGACTCTTCCAGGGGTACATTAGTTTGGCTTTGGAAGCTACCTCTGAAATCCAAGTGTCAAGATCAATCCTGTAAAATGTGAGGTATTATCTGTAAAAATGGACGGGAGCTATTTCTCAGCTGTGTCCCAGGAGCCTTCAAATCCCGGGCGGGATGAAATGGCTGGAGAGAGATTTCTAACCAGTTGGAAAGGCTGGACAGGCTCGTGAGTGCCAGCTCTGCTTGGCCTAGTAACTTGTGCTGCGTTTTCCTACACAGACAGCATGGTGGCCACCACAAGAAGAGACTGGAAGCTCCTGTGTTGATTAAAACAAAGGGTCCAAGCGCTTCCCCAACGTTGGGAGAGCAGGCACTGAAATGGCAGATATATCTTCAAAGCAGTTTATGACTAGTGGCTTGCAAAGGCTTGAGTGAAGCCTCGCCATACAATGTAGTGGGGGTGGCAGGAACTTGCTTCAGAATGAAAACACCACTCTTGAGGTGGCCTTCTTGCTTGCTGACCCTTTGGGTTGCTCGCTGTTTGGGTTGCGACAGGCCCGGGTGGTGGTTGGAGGGGAAGGAAGCAGAGCGCCGTGTCTCTGACTTTGCACCACATGTTTCAGAGCGCGGTCGTTCACTCTCACATTTTACAAAATCAATTTCCATTCTGTCATGGTATTTCACACATTCGCGTTCTGAATAAGTTAGAGAATATTCTACAACTTACAAAAATAACTTTAGTTTTAATTTTTCCTGTTACATGAAGAAACCTATCCATACTTTATCTGTTACAGATGGAAAAACTACATATGGAGAAGTCAGATCTATTAATTAGTTTATAGGCACAAAGTCCCCTAAAGAGTGCCACGGATCCATGTGTTATTCTTAAGAGCTGTCTGAAGTACTTGCACTGAATAATTTATTTCAATTTAGCCCTGTTTCTGCTGTTAATTATCCAAGATCAGACATTGCTTTTTGGGATTTTTTTTTGTTGTTTTCTTTTCTTCACCATTCTCCCCATTTACCTAAATTCACTGAGATGATCTCTGAATATATTTCAGCCTGCTGAGGTATTCAAACCATCAACACCCATCGACTGTGCTCTGTTGTCTTTAAGGCGTGATAGGATGATTACTAACTTCTGTTGTTTTTAATCCTTCAGTCATTTGAATCCTTGGAGAATGAAGAAAGGGGGGAGGAAAGTAGGAGAATGAGAAAATCAGCCACATGGGAACCCCGAATGGTATTTCTTTTTATTTCATCTTTGAGGACTGTTTCAGAGCCCTAACTAAGAATCTGGCTCTGTTGTGCTCGGAAAACAGGGCCAAACAGCATCTTCCTCGTGTTGTGCCGCGCTCTCGTGTTGGAGAGGGTTAGGGTCAGCCAGGCAGCAGTATGTGGTGGGACCAGGGAGCCCTGATTTCCATGCTCAGTCCTGGTGGCTCTTCCCTGGGTTGAGCAACTTCAGACTCCACTGTGGGATGCTTTCAGCAGGTGAGACAAGAAGGGCCAGAGCAATAGGTTGGGAAAGAGTTGGGCAAACAGGGGTGAGGTAGGAGAGAGCAGAAGTAGTCTGAGAGTTATATTTCTGGTTGTGGATTATTTTACACGTGAGGTTTTAGTTGGCCTGTTTATAAAATAAAACTGGCAAAATTGTATGGTGTATTTAAACCTTTGTATAGCAATGCACCAGGGTTATGTAACCTTCATTGAATTACTGTAAATTTTACCTGCTAAATTAGAATTGCTTACTTTCTCTACGCAAAAATGCTTTCTCAGCATTTTTGATGCATCTGCTATTGTGTGGTGTAGCTGCGGTAGTACTTACGGAAAAGCTATCCAGAAAAG